TTGGACTCATTGAAGGAAATTGAAAATCCTGAAGCAGTCGACGTAGCCAAACAATTTCCGTGGCAGCAGCAGTAAGTGATCGATATTCTGACTCCGTAGAGGAACGAGCAATAGTATGTTGCTTTTTGGAACTCCAGCTAATGAGTGTATTTCCAAGAAAAATGCAAAAACCAGTGGTGGACTTGCGATCTTGCTTGTCCCCTGCCCAGTCAGCATCAGAATATGCTGTGAGTTTCATGTCACCACGAAGTATAGGCAGACCATAATGTAAGGTACCATTAAGATACCGTAATATCCGCTTGAGAATCTGAAAATGAAGATTTAACGGATGATGCATATGCTGACATGCCTGATTAACTGCAAATGCTATATCGGGACGAGTGAGCGTAAGATACTGTAAAGAACCGGCAATGCTGCGGTAAAACTGAGGATCAGAGAAGGGAAGCAGAGCTTCAGCTGAAGTGTCCGTCTTTAACACAGTAGGCGTCTGTAAGGGATGACAGTCAGTCATTCCAGCTCGGTTTAGAATAGATCGCGCATAATTTTGCTGATGCAGGAAAATTTTATCAGAGGAGTGAATGACTTGTAAGCCAAGAAATGTGTGAAGAGTTCCCAGATTTTTAACAGAAAACTGCTGTTGAAGATCATGCAGCAGTTTCGAAGCATAGCCAGAGTCATTTCCCATGAATAAGATATCATCTACATAGATAAGTAGATATAAGGTAATCCCATGTTTTGAATAAAACAGTAGAGAAGGATCAGCATTGCTGAATTCAAACCCCCAAGACAGTAAATAATCAGTAAACGTGGAGAACCATTGTCGAGGTGCCTGCTTGAGTCCATAAAGTGCTTTGTTTAGCTTGCAAACATATGAAGGATAATTAGGATCAACAAAGCCTTTTGGTTGTTCCATATAGACATCATCGGTTAATGATCCATGCAAAAAGGCATTTGAAACATCTAATTGCGTAATAGTCCAGTTATTGTGCAGGGAAACTGTAAGAAAGACTCGTATTGTTTGAAATTTAGCAACTGGACTAAAGGTTTCAAAGAAGTCAAATCCATACTCTTGTTTGAATCCTTGAGCTACCAACCGGGCTTTGTATCTAGCAATGTTACCATCAGCAGTAAGTTTGGTTTTATATAACCATTTGTTTCCGAGAACATTATAATGTGATTTAGGAGGTATTAGTGTCCAGGTACCCTGCTGCTGTAGAGCTTGAAATTCGGCAGACATTGCATTGCGCCAGTTTGGACATTTAGCTGCTTGAGTATAGGAGGTAGGGTCAGAAGCCTGTTGAGTGAGATGAAGAAGATTAAAGATGGATTTGGGTTTTAGGTGTCCTGTTTGAAGACGAGTAGTCATGTGGTGAGTCTTGGTCAGGTGAGGCCTTGGTGATGAAACAGAATCGGAGACAGGAGAAGGATGTGGTATACTAGTAGTGCTGGAAGCCGAAGTAGAGGAAGTAGGAGTTAATGACCGATTGAGTGATGATGCAGATTGAACAGAGTGAGTAACATTTGATGGAGATGTAGAGGTAGTAAGAGGAACAAGAGTCAGAGGAGGAGGATTATTTGTAGAGCATGAGGATCCAGTAGGCTGCAAACAAGAGTGAGGGGAAGTATCAGATTTGAATGGAAACAAATGTTCATGAAATTGAACATTGACAGAGATGATAACAGTGCCTGTATCCATATCAAGACACATATATCCCTTTGATGCCGTTGCATAACCAATGAAAACAGATTTAAGAGCTTTAGGAGCAAGCTTATGAGTTTTATGTGAAGGAAGAAGGGGATAACATTGACATCCGAAAACCTTCAGCATTTTATAATTTGGTGCACAATGAAATAACATTTCATGCGGAGACTTGTTTTTAAGATTTGAAGAAGGCAATCTGTTTATTAAATAAACAGCAGTAAGAACAGCATAAACCCATAGGTTATATGGCAAATTGGCATCCAAGATCAAAGTACGAGCCGTTTCAATGATATGTCGATGTTTTCGCTCTGCCAAACCATTTTGCTGAGGAGTATAGGGACAACTAAATTGCTGTTGAATACCATGGGTTTGAAAATAGTTCTGAAACATTTTATTTTTGAATTCTGTTCCAGAGTCTGACCGGAAAACAGTAATAGGAGTATTAAACTATTTTTCCACCATGGTTTTGAAAGTTCGAAAGTGATGAAAGGTTTCAGACTTTTGAAGCATAGGAAATATCCAAGTGTAACGCGAAAACTCATCAACAAATATAACATAATAACGAAATCCATTAATAGAAGATATTGGGGAGGGACCCCATACATCAGAGTGAATAATTTGAAGAGGCCTAGTTACAGTAGATTTAGATAACGAAAAACTAACACGATGACATTTGGACTGAGAACAAGAACTACAAGAACTAACAACATTTTCTAAGAAAACAAGTGGATTCCGAGCACGAAGAACAGCAAGAGTGTTGAGGTGTGGATGTCCAAGTCTCTTGTGCCAGATATTTGAAGATGTGGAGGTGCTGGTGGAGATGAAGGCACTGGAGACGGGATAGAGTCCATTATGGCTGCGACCTTGAAGGAGAGTTGAATGGTTCTTCAAATCCTTTATGCGAAAGCCATTGGAATCAAAAACAACAGAGCAATTATTATTTGCAGTGAGTTGTTTAACAGAAACCAGATTATGAGTAAGTTTAGGAACGAAGTAAAGAGGATGAAGAAGAAGTTTACGAGAAGGAGTAGGAAGCAGCCCTTGTCCAGTAGCAGCAATAGGCAAATTCTGTCCATTACCCACAGTGATCTGATTTTGACCATGATACGGTTGCACAGAAGACATTTGAGAAGCATCAGATGTCAGATGCGAAGATGCCCCGGTATCCAGATACCAATCAGTAGTTGAAGGATTGGTAGTAGCTGTAAGAGCAGCATTTTGTGGGGACTGATATTCCAGATCAGTTCTATACCAACAATTGACAGCAGAATGACCACGACGAGCACAAATCTGACATTCAATGCTACGATTTCCTGTTCGACCTCCTCTTCCAGTGTTTCGTTCACCCCGATTGTAAGGACGAGAGCGCATTGCAGAGGAGCGTCCTCGAGTGCGACCTCTTGAAGCATATAATGCAGTCGAGGGTTCTGTGGCTGCAGTTATGTGAGCTTCACGCAGTGTATCAGCTGTCAAGTTGATCTCCTCACTGCATAACAATGAATATAAATCATCTAAACTGAGAGGTTGCAGATTCGTACGTATAGAGGTTTTAAACGCATTATACGTAGCAGGCAAGCCATTAAGGGTATAAAGTATGATATCTTCTATGTCCAAACTGCTGCCGGCAGCATTAATCGCATCCACCTTGGATTTAATCAGCGATAAGTATTGTGTCATAGTCATGTCCTTCATTGTAATATGATGCAGCTCATTTTTAAGCTGAAGTATGCGAGATCTATTTGTAGATTGTAACCTCTTTTCGATGGTTATCCACACAGCATGAGTGGTGTCCAAATTTAACACATAAGGTAGAAGAGAAGGACTAATAACAGAGTAAAGAGCTGAGGTTAAATTCAGATCAATGAGTTTCCAAGCAGAAAACTCAGTGTTCGTAGTAGAAACACTATCTGCAGTGACCGTGAAGGATGGGGGTGCAGGCGCGGAACCATCCAGAAAACCGTAAAATCCATTTGCTTGAAAAACTTTAATCACCTGAGCTCTCCATAGTGGATGATTATCAGTAGTTAAAGGAGTATGAACAATATTTTTGATATTGTTCATAAAAAATTTCAGAGAAGACGGAATTTGAGTCTCCTGAAGCTGGGTATACTTGATTACAGTATTTGTTGTTGATGCTGTAGATGACATGGCCGGAGTCGTCATCAAAATCAAAGCAGATGAAGAATCAAACGTCGTGAGACAACAGCTCTGATACCATGTTAAAACAACCTGCATTATAAAGCTACTTCGAAGAAAATATTTTTTTTTCTAAGTTGTTGTAGAAAAGAACTTCTTAGCACAAATATTAGCAGCCAAATAAAAATTATGTTTGCATTCTAAAAAATTGTCCCTAATGAAGCCTTAAATTTATAACCAACATTCTAAAAAGCTATAGTCATTCTATACAGACGCTAAATTATTCATCAATTTATAATGTATAAAGGATATTAAATTATATTTTTAATAAATTAAATATCTAAGATATATTTTTTTATTTTAATATAAAATTAAATTTATAAGGTGTTGTCAAGGAAAGCTTTTCACCTACTTAGAAATCGCATATAATTAGAAAGCACTTCATCATTATGATAAGTAATGTTCTCTTCATTATTTGACATTGGAAGGTGTAATTTGATTGAATAAAAAAAAAATTGAAACTTTTATTTATATAAAATTAGATTTAGAAACAGTTTTAATAGGATATTAAATCGAATAAACCTTTAATTTATTTATTTATTTGTTCTGTCTTTCTCAATTTCTTAATCTTTTCTTTCCTTGAGAGAAGCTCATGTGCTAAGCAAGTAAAGGTTATCACTATAATTGTTGTTGGCCATGTGTTTGCAAGCTCACTTAGGTTTGAAAATTTGAGAGGCCATTCATGCCCTCACGTTATGTAATTAAGAACTTTTATTCTCTCTCTCTCTCACACACACACAATCAATCAATATTATCAAAATTAATATTGAACAAAATCATTTTAATAATATTTTTTGAAAAAAAAAATGATTAAGGGTTCAATTGTGATAGTTTTCTTTTTACTTTCTAAAGCAGCTTTTCAGTACAAAATTTTTTTAATTAGAAACTTTGTACTAAGAAGCTACTTTATAAAGTAGTAAAAATGTTATCACAAACAAAACTTAAGTGAGAAGATTGTGATTACACAGCTCACATTGAAGAATAATAATAATAATAATAATAATACCACAGACGTATAAGATTCTTATACTTTCTGCATATGTTCGGAGTATCAGACAAGCTTGAGTTGGTATAAATTCGAATTCGCAACAATTCCGAGCTCTATAAAAGAGTCTGCAAGTCAATTGTTCGCCTGAACTTTCCGCGGCCACTTCACCTAACTCCCAATAATCATAAAGAATAGTCATCAGAGTTTATTTACATTGAAGGCCTCACCATAACAAGTCCAGAAACGTACGTGAGATCGAGAGTTTGTCTTGTTGTCTCTCACTTCTCCCCTCGCTATGGAAGTATTCAGCTTGCTAAAGCTCAGGAGGAGCGGCGATGACCCAATAGCCCCCACCGCCAACGCTTGCGCCTCCGACATCTGTTGCGCGGCCGGCGCAAACCATGGAGGCGGCGGAGTGATGGAGGACGAAGGCCCCTTTTTTGATCTTGAGTTCTCCGTCCCAGTAGAGCTTAAGATGAACGCTTCTTCTATGGGACATCGGTCTTCAACCTCTTCCACTTCTTTAAAGGAAGAGATTCTCTTCAACGGGCGTCTTTTTACACTTGAGTCCTCTTCCTCGCCATCCTCGCTGTTCTTCTCTCCTGCTGCTTCTGAACCGAACTCAAAGCCCCATTTCCCAGCTTCTGTGGTAAAATCTGCTACCAAGCTCCGAATTTTCATGTTTCGGCTCAACTCCAGCAACAGCAGCTCTAATTCTGCATCTGATTCTATAAAATTCATCAAGGAGGAGAAGAAGCTGGTTTACAAGGACGTTATCCTTCGTTACATCAGCAAGATAAAACCTTTGTATGTAAAGGTCTCAAAGCTGAGATTTTCGGGACCTCTTGGCCCGAACAAGGATGGCTCCGCCGCCCAAAGCGCAGGGGCGAAGAAACAGAGCAAGGGGAAGCCATGGTCGACAGGAAATAGTCTTTCTTACAGGCTTAAGGCGGTTCCCGGACGTCTGCGGAAGAGCAGGTCGGCTTCCTCAGCGGTGGCGTACGTCTACCCGCCGCCGATGGTGACACCTAAGCACGACGACTCGCTTCTTCAACAAGAAGATGGAATACAGAGCGCTATTGCTCACTGCAAGAGATCTTTTCATTCAGAAAAAGGTTCCTATTACTGCAATTTTTCTAAAAATCCCATTTTGCTCGTGCATATAGCTTATCTGTTCATTTTTTATGCACAGAATCAGGATTCTGGGCTGCAGAATCGCCGCTGCTTCGTTCCATGAGCGATCCCGGAGAAGATAGATCCATCGGTCGTGTGAGAGACAATTCTGCCATTAATTAGATCATTGTGCAGATCATTTTTTTGTTAAAAAAATAGCTTTTGCTTGAAGTGGCAAAATTTGAAAGATGGGATTGTCTCTTTCTTTCCATGCTCCGCTTATTCCGAATGACATCATAGTTAGGCCCTTTCAGTGAAGAACGTACGCATACAGTATTCTGTACATCGAAGCCATTAATTATTTGTTTTAAGCTCTCCTTAAACTTCTCTATTTAAAATTTTAAATGTATAAGCTTTGTCATAATCAACGTGCTCCCAACTTCCCTCAGCTTTATTCTTCTAAAAGAATAATTTCCATTTGACAAATTGTTCATCGCTTTGAATGGTTCAAAAGGCGGGAGTGGAAGAGAAGCTGAGCCCTCGATATGATGAGGGTGGAAGAAGACAAAGATCTGAGAAGCTCAGGCGGCATGGGGAACGCTGTCTCTCTGCTTTTTTATTCATATTTTTAAGAAGTTTCATGATTTCCTCAGCTACCCTGAAGCCTGTGCTTCTCTTTCGCGCTCTCTCTCTTCATCATAACAAAAGTACATAAATATTTTATGCGATTAATCAAAAGATTATCAAATAAATTTCCACTTGACTTGTTTGGTGGGGTTACATTTAGCGCCTGCAGCACTAAAACTCTGCAGTCTCCTTTTACTTTGTGAGCAGTGGGAGGCTTGCTGGTAAGAAAGCAGGGAGGAACGAAGACCGAAATAGTAAAAAAAAAGCTTTGACGAACAGATTTTTAGTTCTTTTTATGACAAGAAAAGAAGACCGTGGCGTCTATTTTGAGCGAAGGTTCGCTTGTGGTGTACCGCATCACATTTTCAATCGTTTGTTTTTGAATTTTTTTAATATTCTAATATTTTTTCCATGGAGTTAATGATATACTTTTGTTTTGAATTATCAAAAATTTTTATAAAGTAGATTTTATATCTATGTATTTTATAAGATTTAATTTTTATAAAGTCTTTTTAATTTTATTTCAAAATTTGATATTATAATGGGCATATTTTTCTTAAATTCTAATATTATAAGCCAAAATTGGCTCTATTTATGGCTAGTGAGATAGGCTTGATAAGCTTGTAAGGCAAGTCTTATTTATGAAATGTTTGTGATAATTTTTTGTCTATCATATTTTTTTTTTTGTTTTATTCTTTTGTTGCTTTCTCTTTGTTTTCTTTTTAGAAAATTTTGTAATGAAAAAAATATTTTTTACAATCATAATAGTCAAAGTTCTTCTTACAATAGTTTATAAATTGATTTCATAAAATATGATTATTGTGTCCTAGAATATTAGATGCAGTAGAGAAATATAAAATTTAGCGTCTAAGAAGATCTAGCAAGCATATATATTGTATAATATTCAAAAGAGATCAATATTTTTATGTGAAAATCACAGGGCGTGCCCAATTCGAATGAAGACAGGAGTTGGTATGCGACGGTGGTGTCCAGGCAGAAGTTCGGCGACGGTCGAAAGTTCAATGATGCTCGGTGGTCGGATCGACGTCCAGGACAATCGGTGGTCGAATATAAGTCCGACAAAATTTGCTGGCTAGATGAAAGTCTGACGACGGTCGGTGGCTAGGCTGTGATCGAGGAGGAGCTTGGTGGCAAGAGACATCTCAGATTTTCTTCCTTTCCACTATTCTTTTTCCTTGTTTTCTCTCCCTTTTTAATGAAGAATGTGGGGTATATTCTTAATTTTTTGATAATGACATGACCAATAAATATGAAGATGATCAAGGACACATTGAGAGTATTTCGAATGAACATCCAATATTGACTCCCTTAATCATAAATTATTTATAGAGTATTAAAGTATTATAATGATGTTAGAATTCAATGATCTTAAGCTCGTTGGATTCATCTCGTTGAGCCGCTCGATTCAACTATGAGCATGCCACATTTTGATATATTTTGGTCAAACAATTTATTCTTTAAACCTTTTAAATGTGCTTCAGGCTTTTGATTTGAATTCATTTAAGCTTGAAATTTGATCGAATTAGGTGTCATTGGGTCTGTCTTTTCAATACGTTTAGTTCGACTACAAATTTACTGAAGTCGGAGTTCAAATAATTACAAATTTAATTTGGAAATTTCCAATTCCGATTTGCCTTGAGATATGTGCCCGGTAACAAAAAATATTTGATGATGTTTGAATCAAGTCGTCCTAAATATAGAATATTTGGTTGGCTTTGTGGTCTTCAGACGTGTGAAAATTCGGAAAGTGTGATGGTCAGCGGTTGCGGGGAAGAGTGCGACGCGGGTCTTCGTAAAAGCTAGCCCAGTTAAAAATGGCCAATGGCCCGGCCCAAGCTGAAGCGCTCTTTCAGTCTTTCCTTTCCGAGCGCGTGTTCGCTTTCTCTTTTGCTTTGATTGGTAAAAGCTCTTTACATCCCATCTCCCACGCTTTATGCGAAAATGTGGTAACCCGACCGGCTTTATTCGCTTGTTCTCTCCCTCGCCAGTCGAATCCAAGAGAAAAAAATTGTCTTTCTTCTGCTTTTTCCCACTCCCTTCTCTCACTTTGGACATTCATAAAAGACTAGAGATTATTAGGTGCGGAGTGCGGACGGGGAGAACCGTCCGCACAAGTTTTATATCGCGTTAGGTACCGACACTCGGTACCGCTAGGAGCTAGGTACCTATATTTATGCGGACAGTGTACACTCCGCACCTAATAATTTTTCATAAAAGACTGGGCACTATTAAGTATTATTTTTAGAGAAATCATAAATTTGCCTGTTAAAAGAAATTCTCAGGAAAATAATTATAATAATAAGCTAATACACTTCCAAAGATAATCAGATGAATTTGGAATCAATTTTAATAGAGAAAAATTATTAAAATTAATCTCAAGATTTTAAAATTATTACTATGTGCATAGTCCGTACATAAAGTTGTGTCCAGATATGTGAGTGTACACAGTATGTATATATTATGTACTGTGTATAAAAATAAAAGTACATAAAATATACACATTGTGTAGACTCATAGTTCAGATGCAACTTTGTGTCTGGACTCTGCATAGTTTGAGATAGTTTTTTTGGTACTTTCTTTTTCCAACAATAGTCATAATATCATTTGACTATAGGTCAAATATACTATCTTTTATTCTTTTTAGGTGGATTTATATACATATCATAAAATTGGTATGTAATATTTGAATTTTATATTTATTTATATGTTATTTTTAAATATAATTATTTGAGCTATTGTTATTGGTTTAGAGGGGTTTTTTTAGTTTTCTATGATATATTTAAATTATAATATTATTACATCAGTTACAATTAAGTTGTGGATCTATTTACAATATAATATTATAATCTTACAGTCTCAAATTTACGAAGCAAATTATAAATTTATTGTATTAAATATAAATATAAATTTTTTGTAATGTATATAATTTCAAGAACAAAAAAACATTAGCGGATAAAAATTATAATTTTGAAAATATTTAATTATAATCCCTACAAATTCTATTGTGGTTGCTTTAAAAATTAATTTTAAAATGGGTAAAATCTCATCCTTCTCTATAAATTTAAAATTTATGAATGAAAAGTTTATATTTTTATTTATAAATTTCAAAATAAGTAAATAAAAAGATATGCCATTTCAAAATTTAATTTTTCATATTTTCTTTTCATTTAGTTTCTATTTTATAGAAATCATTGAACTATTATTATTTTTCTTTTGTGTGTGCCCATTTTTCTTAGGAACAAATTACATATTCATATTAAATATAATATTACAAACTGTATGCATCTCATCTTGGTTTGTTAGTCGGAAACTTTGACTACCAATCAAAAAATTTTGGATTTGGGTCTCGTGCATCTGATATGTATATAAGTTTGTTTTAACTGGCATAATTGTTCCAATAACAAATATTTCAAACCGTTCTAACTTAGCAAGCATATACTCTCTCACTTTCTATGATTTCTGAGTAAAAATATGCGCATCTCATGTGTGCTCCTTTCAACTTATCAATGTATCCTTTATCTTCAATAATCCATTATCTAGTATTAAATAAATTTGTTTCAGTGTTGGAAAATTGATAGAGAGAAATATATTTTTAACATCTTATGGTCAAACAAGCATTCCATACGCATATATTAGTCGAGAGCAACACATAATCGATTTAAAAATTTTTACTTGAAAAAATTGGGGAGGAGTAAAACAATAGAGCATAGTCTATTTGAAACATTCATGCTAGTGTGGGTGAAGAATGAGAGAGGGAATCCTTCTCCAAAACTATTACATATGTTAAGAGATATGAACTATTGAAGAAGTCTCTTGTGTTACTATTAAGAGGAGTTTTTTTTTTTTAATTAAGATTTATATTGAAGAGGTGAGTATTTGATGATTGTTGATGGTGAACATGGAGAGTCAAATGATTGATGATGTTTGACTTAGTAATTATTGTGATTAGAGGAGGGACCAGACGACTTGGAAATATAACTATCAATTGCTAGTGGTTGACAAACTCCAATCATTAGTAGCATCAAATAATGATCAATAAGGAATGATAAAAGTAAAGTGATGATTGGCGGTTGATTTGATTCTTCTCTTTATAGAAGGTAAAATCGAGTGATCAATAAGATGAGTTTTCAACATTAGAGTTAATAAATTGACAAGTATCTAATGATCATGTTCGATTGAGAATGTTGAGATTCAAGATATGATGAATGTGACTTGATTGTTCTACTAATATTAGGTAGGATTGGGTGAGTGATAAGATGATTGTTAAATGTCAGTGCCTGTAGATGTCAAACAACGATCACTTTAGAGGATGGTTACCAGGGAATATTAGGAGTTAGTCAATGGTTAGTGGTTGACCTAGTTATTGTCATGGTAGGAGTCCGAGTGACTACAAATACAAGCATTCAATATTGATGACCAATGAATAATTAATGATATTTGGATGATGATTGATGTGAAACATCAATAGTCAAGTGGAGGTGGAAAATCATCATGATTACTCTCCTAAGATAAACAGGAGATTATAAAAAAAAAGATGTGTATTGAATGGCAATGATTGATGACATTAAACATTGATTATTAGTAATTGTGGGGGTGTGTGTGTGTGTGTGTGTG